CAAAGATGGGTGACAAAAAAAGGACATGGAACAATAGACAATGAATTTATTAAATTAACAATGATATAAAGCAAAGAGGGATTGCTGAGCTTTTTAGAAGGTAAGATACAAGTTTTAACCCATTTCAGGGAGAGTGAGGCATGCAGCACTGAGATGAAATCCATGAAAGATCAAATAGAAAGAACAGAGAACAAGAGCAAAACGCATAAGGTGGGGCATCTGGGAAAGCTTGGAACTTTCCCAAGAAGCAGTTATGGTGTATATAATGGGGATAAGAAATGGAACTCAAGTCAATAGTGCAATTTTTCTATAGCAAAAAGTTGAAGACACAATTTTAAACTGCAGAGCAGGGGGCAGAAACTTGGGAGACATTACTGCTATCTGAGCAGCCTTGGTAATCTGACCTTTAGCACACCTTGAAGAATTCTGTACAATGGAAAAGGAAACTTGCTCCAAAATAATATGTCCCCAATTCTGATGAGAGCCACAAAGACAACAGAAGACCTAAGAGGAAAACCTTGGGAATGAAGATGGGAGACTGGCTATATTTAGTCTCGAGAAAAGAAGGCTGAGGGGGATAGGAGCTTGAGGGCTTTCAAATATTTAAAAGATGTCAGGAAAATGTAGAAGAACTGTAGTTTTATCTCCATCTCGATGTTACAAAATATATCCTAATTATAAGAGCTGTTCAACAATCAATCATGCTACTTGGGAAGGTAACAGAATCACTGCCATTAGTTTTCAGCAAAAAGAATAAAAGTCAAAGGAGCAGCACCTGAGACAGGTAAAAGTTGCCTTACAGTGTTGACACAGGAATCATCGCTCTCTGGTAAAGGGAGGCATTTATCCGAACTGTGTCCTCAAGACCAGCTTTTTACCAGGACAAAACTGAGGTGAATGCCAAATCTGACCACTTCAGGCACTGGTGACGTCAGCCTGTTAGGAGGGGGGCTGTTACTCCTCCTTCCCTATGACACCTCAACTTCCCATTATAGTTTTGTGATAAAACTGCACCCCCACAATAATCAGAATTCGCAAATTACATATACTGTAATGAGCTATTTGGAATCACCCTCTTTCTTTCTTTCTTTCTTTCTTTCTTGCTTGCTTGCTTGCTTGCTTGCTTGCTTGCTTTCCCTCTCTCTCTCCCCCTCTCTTTCTCTCTTTCTTTTTGCAAAACTGACACATAATTAAAGGTGCAGCTACACTAGGTATCCAAATTATTCAGATTCAGATCTGCTGCAGGTTGATTCCGTCTCCTTCGGTTTTAAGTGCACTGTTGTCAGGGCCCCGTTACCCCTCCTTTGCTCTGACACCACATTTTTTCTGTGACAGCCACGGCAGAAACTCCAGAAGTTCCACTTTGAACCAATGTGCACAAAAAGAGCGCATGCCTTGTTCAAATGCCCCGAAAATTGCTTCCACTTCTAGAGGCATTTAAAAACTGCTTCCAGAACTTCCAAAACAAAACAAGTTTTGTGTTTTCCAAGCTGCTTGTTTTGAAGTGAATTGGAGGGTTTTTTTTTTAATTTTGAGGGGGGTTTTTTTTGATGCTGCCATATCATGAAAATTCAGCAATGCAGAAGAGAATTTTGGGAGAGGATGGAGTACTCAGCACTGGGGTGGGGGTGGGGGAGAAATGTAGTCTCCCTAGTGCTGCAAGTTGCCCGTCCCTGCATTATGTGGAAGCACATTTATCTAAAAGCCATGAGCAGGCTTATCAATAGGGGTCAACATTCCCCTCAAGCAAGGTGCTAAATGAAATTTTGCAAAGATGGGTGACAAAAAAAGGACATGGAACAATAGACAATGAATTTATTAAATTAACAATGATATAAAGCAAAGAGGGATTGCTGAGCTTTTTAGAAGGTAAGATACAAGTTTTAACCCATTTCAGGGAGAGTGAGGCATGCAGCACTGAGATGAAATCCATGAAAGATCAAATAGAAAGAACAGAGAACAAGAGCAAAACGCATAAGGTGGGGCATCTGGGAAAGCTTGGAACTTTCCCAAGAAGCAGTTATGGTGTATATAATGGGGATAAGAAATGGAACTCAAGTCAATAGTGCAATTTTTCTATAGCAAAAAGTTGAAGACACAATTTTAAACTGCAGAGCAGGGGGCAGAAACTTGGGAGACATTACTGCTATCTGAGCAGCCTTGGTAATCTGACCTTTAGCACACCTTGAAGAATTCTGTACAATGGAAAAGGAAACTTGCACCAAAATAATATGTCCCCAATTCTGATGAGAGCCACAAAGACAAAAGAAGACCTAAGAGGAAAACCTTGGGAATGAAGATGGGAGACTGGCTATATTTAGTCTCGAGAAAAGAAGGCTGAGGGGGATAGGAGCTTGAGGGCTTTCAAATATTTAAAAGATGTCAGGAAAATGTAGAAGAGCTGTAGTTTTATCTTCATCTCGATGTTACAAAATATATCCTAATTATAAGAGCTGTTCAACAATCAATCATGCTACTTGGGAAGGTAACAGAATCACTGCCATTAGTTTTCAGCACAAAGAATTAAAGTCAAAGGAGCAGCACCTGAGACAGGTAAAAGCTGCCTTACAGTGTTGACACTGGAATCATCGTTATCTGGTAAAGGGAGGCATTTATCCGAACTGAGTCCTCAAGACCAGCTTTTTACCAGGACAAAACTGAGGTGAATGCCAAATCTGACCACTTCAGGCACTGGTGACGTCAGCCTGTTAGGAGGGGGGCTGTTACTCCTCCTTCCCTATGACACCTCAACTTCCCATTATAGTTTTGTGATAAAACTGCACCCCCACAATAATCAGAATTCGCAAATTACATATACTGTAATGAGCTATTTGGAATCACCCTCTTTCTTTCTTTCTTTCTTTCTTTCTTGCTTGCTTGCTTGCTTGCTTGCTTGCTTGCTTTCCCTCTCTCTCTCCCCCTCTCTTTCTCTCTTTCTTTTTGCAAAACTGACACATAATTAAAGGTGCAGCTACACTAGGTATCCAAATTATTCAGATTCAGATCTGCTGCAGGTTGATTCCGTCTCCTTCGGTTTTAAGCGCACTGTTGTCAAATAATCCAAATTAGCTTCGTTTCAAGCCTCCTCGCAGCACAACACTATGCTACAGTTCAAAAAGTGACCCCAAGCTCCCTCTCCAATTCTTCCATTGTTAATACCATCTTATTCCCCCTTTTCCCCACCCCTTAATCTAATTTCTGCTGTCAGCCACATTCTGCTGGTTTGTTAATGTTCTCCAACTAGCACTGGTGGATTTTGCAAAAACTACACACACACTCACATAATACACACACGGCAAAGATGCAATCACATGTCCATTAGCATTCATTCAGGTTGCTTTCATTCCACACGCACACACAGTTTTTCTACAGAAATCTTAGTGCTAACGTCTTATAACAATATGACAGGTCTGGTGAAAACAACAGACCAACAGATCCCATGCTTGAAATCATATGCAAAGCATTTAGCAGTCCACAGAGAGATAGCGAAGCAAAAGAAGCTAAATATAGCAGTAGACAAACTGTGCTGTGGAAAGAGCCAGTGTGGCCGTACAGGAGGTAATAAGGAATCAGGGGAAAGAATGCAAAAAAAAAAGAAAAAAAAAAGTAATAATAATAACCCAGCATTGCAGTGAACAGGTGATCTATTCTGAGGGTAGATACAGTAGGACTCCCGTATCCATGGGAGATTGGTTCCACTGTGTACTGTGGATGCCCCAAACTGTAGATATGAGGGAAACTTTACATACAACATACAAGGGAGCATTCTTGTTTGTTATATATAGGGCTGCTGCAAACCACAGATATGTGAAACTATGGATATCAATCCCATGGATATGGACATCCTACTGTAATTCTAACATTAATTAAAAAAATTAAATTAAGTTCAAGGGTGAAAAGGAGAGAGCTCAAAGGAATGGCTATTTTCACAGTCACAAAGAACACATTCCAATTAAGACATCACCCCTGCACTCCTTTGAATTGATCTTTGCACATGCCCCATCGCTTTTCTATATCGGCACAAGCAATCACACATGCCTGAAGCAATGTGAACACATTCGCTTGTAAAAAAAGTAGAAGCAGTGGAGGAAAAAAATATGGATTAGGAGGGGGAAAGTCCAGCCTATTTTGCATTGTGTAGTTGACAGAAAAATACTGCAGATCTAACCATATCCATCCTGGCGCAATTCTCTTACATTCTGTCAATGTAGTCACACTTTTAGTTATATATAATAATGTCATGAGGGAAAATTTTATTCCTCTTATAGTGTAAATGTAACTGTTTCTAACCACTTCTATAGATCAATGGGAGTAGCCTCATCAAGTGTTTTGCACCACAGGCCAGCCATTCTACAAACTAAAAAAGTAGCAATTTCAGTTTTGAGGGGGGAGGGGGGAAGGTTGGGCTTTTTTTAAAAAATGTAATTATAACAGTAACTAATTACAGTGGTGCCTCGCTTAACGTCGATAATCCGTTCCAGGAAAATCACTGTTAAGTGAAAACATCGTAAAGCGAAATTAAACAGCCCATTGAAACGCACTGAAAACCTTTCAATGCATTTCAAGGGGCTAAAAACTCACCGTCCAGCGAAGATCCTCCATACGGCAGCCATTTTTAATGCCTGTATAGCGAGGAATCCATCTCTAAGCACAGCGGGGAGCCATTTTAAGCACCAGGTGGCCATTCTGAAAACCCGACTATCAGCTGTTTTTGATCATCGTAAAGCAAAAATCAGTTCCCGAAGCAGGGAACCGATCATCGCTAAGCGAAATTCCCCCATTTAGATGATTGGAAAAACATCATCATAAAGCGGATTAGTCGTAATGCGGGGCAATCGTTAAGAGGGACACGACTGTATTTCTTTGGGGAAAGAATTGGAACTAGTTATTTTTTAAATGTTCTGGTGAACTAATCATTTTGCTAGTCTTTCCAACATTTGTGACAACTTCTGGTTCAGTGGTGTCTGTAAAAGTAAGGGTTGCCATGAGTGACTACTTACCATCTGTGGAGCATCCTGTAGAACCATCACTGGAGCAGTAACGCATTTCAATCCTCTGCCTTCCCACATCTAGCAAACTGGCATCAGGCAGCCGGGCCTTGCATGTGTATCGAAAACGTTGTTCATAATGGCCACCGTTGTCAGAGATGTTCACAGGACTCCATGGTGTCCAAGGTGTGGTTTTTTTCAACTCTGGACAGGGGCTGGTATTGCAAGCCTGAAACTCCTGGGGGAAAGTGCATACATAGATTCAGGAGATAACAAGGAGAATACATTGGAAACAGTACTTTCATGTAATTTGACTCTAATCCCTGATTTTTAGAAATACTAATCATTTAAAAAAGCCCTCAAAGCTTACACTTGCTTGGATATCAATATGTCTACGAAGTCTGCAGTAATAAAGCAAAACTTTATACTTCATTGTATACTTCAAACTTGAGGTCCTTATGCACAATTCCCATATGTATAACCAGGCTTTTACTAAAGATTTTGAAGCAGCTGTCCCTACTTTGGTTGATTTATATTTAATTCATTCATTTTTTAAAAAAAAATTGGGGTCATTTGTTAAGATGTTACCAGCATAGGTCTCAGAATGGCTCAGAGAACAGAGCTATAACAACATGGTAAAATCTATAAAGCAAATCATAACAAGCACTTTACAAGTCAATCATAAAAATTAAGGGAGCCTGGCCAACAAAATGGTTCTCAACCAGCATTGGAAGGAAAGCAAAAAGAGGTGCCCAAATTAATATGCCTGTGAGGTGAATTGCTCTGATACGGAATTCTAATAGGGCAGTGCCAGAACTAATAAAGCCCTGTTTCCAGATGTCATATGTTTAATTTTGAAAAGAAGGACATGAGTGGATCAAGTGCAGTCCTTTGGATGTGGCTTGTGTACCTCTACTGTCAGCCCTAATTAGCATGGCCAAGGGCCAGAGTGCTGAAAGTTTGTCTATAACCGCATCTGGAGGACACTTCACTCACCTCTGTGATAGTGGGATGCAGGAATGGGGTCTCTTAATGGCAAGCTTTCTCACACTGGAGAAGGCAGGTGCACGGGGTATCCTAGTCTCAAGGTGCTTAGAGCTTCACAGTGGGGTCTCAGAAAACACTTTGGCTCCAAGAACCACCAGCTGCACTAGCTGGGTGGGTGGGTCAGTGGGAAAAGACAGGGACCATGAACACATTACAGTGGTGCCTCGTATTGCGACGTTAATTCGTTCCACAAAAATTGCTACAGAACGAAAACGTCGCAATGCGAAATAAAAAAGCTCATAGAGACGCACTGAAACCTCTTCATTGCGTTCCTATGGGCTGGAAACTCACCGTTCAGTGAAGATCCTCCATAGCACTGCCATTTCTGGTGCCTCTTAAGCGAGGAATCCATCCCAGAAAACAGTGGGTGGCCATTTTGTTTACCCGGTGGCCATGTTGAAACAACCGATCAGCTGTATTAAAATTGTCGCTTTGTGATGCTCGGTTCCTGAAGCACGGAACCGATCATCGCAAAGCGAAATTCCCCCATAGGGAACATAGCAAAGCGATAGCTTTTGTGATCGCAAAAAATGTGTCGCAAAGCTATTTCATCGCTAAGCGGAGCGATCACTATGCGTGGCACCACTGTACACCCAAATGCACTGGACAGGGCAGCTGCTGTTAAAGGATTGCTGAAGGAGCACACTTCTGCGGTATTATCAGTGGCACACACACAACAATACTACCTACCTTTATTTTATTGACCCCGACCTTCTACTGGCTACTAGCCTCATTTTCCTATGAGAAAGAAGTAAACAAACCAGAAAGGCTTGCTTCTGGGAAGCAGAAAAGAATCACGGGTGGTGCAGGGCTCTGGTGCACAAACAAGGGACAATCCTTCCCCTTTGGTTGGAGAAGAAATGCCTGGTGCCAATTCCTGTCAGGGATTACAGAACTGACCGAAAATCTCCCCCGTTCCTGGCTGGCAACTCAGTATCATGAGGCTCGGGTCAGATGAGGCTGACCAGACATCTTCCCACAGCCTCAGCTCACCCAAGCTGGCAGCAGCAGACCTGGACAATGCTGAACTGGTCCAGCCGACATTCATCTTATCTGCTGCCTTTGCCCAGGACTAGTCTAGAATGAATAATCACATTTTGTTTCTTTATTTGTCCCTATAAAAAAACAACAACAAAGCCTCGGGAATGCCATTTTGTACCAGATGCTTGCTGTTGGGTAAGCAGTGGAACATTGCCCAATAATAATGTGCCTGAGAGGGACAAGAAGGATCCAGGTCTTCAGTAGCTTGGCAGAGAGGATCCAAACCTCAGGCTGGCTGTTCCTACTCCAAGCAAAAATGCCCTCCTGTTTACAGACCTCTGATCGTCCCTCTGCTATAAAACCCACAGTCTGAGCCAGCAGAAACTGCAGTACTGATGCTTTACCATAATGTCTTCTCATTTTAGGCCCCTGGGTTAGTGTTAGTCAACAAATCTCCTCTAGCTTTCCACTCTAAATGTACAGTTAGCATGAACAGACTATAATAGTGGTTTAAAATGAGAGCCATAATTTCAGGAGCTAAAAGGAGATGTGTTTTCCCCATATGGCCCTGTGTGTCGCCACTGATGTCTCATGGGTAAATGCCAAATCACGCCCTTCAAAAGAAAACCAGCCAAGTCTACAAAGATCTTCGACTGTGCATTTTTATGACTTGACTACTCCCTCTGACTTTTTTTTTAACCTTTGGGATCTAAAGGAGGACTAAAATAACCTTCTTCCCTGTAAAGAAAGGAGCATACCAGTTCCACCAGCCTACAAATGCAGCTTTCAGAGCCCATGGACACCCAGTACAGAGGCATGGACCTGAGACTTCAGCTGACACAATGTTTCTAGTATGTCCTCCATAAAACAGTGGTACCCAACCTTCGGCCTCCAGAGGTTCTTGGACTTCAACTCCCAGAAGTCCTGGCCAACAGAGGTGATGGTGAAGGCTTCTGGGAGTTGTAGTCCAAGAACATCTGGAGGCCCAAGGTTGGGGACCATTGCCATAAAAGGACCAAGGCAGTCACAAACCAAGAATAATGCTCCATTAAAACAAGGGCACAGAACGAAACAGGAGAGCAGTAAAAGTCTGCAGAACTTAGAAAACAAATGTTAAATCCGGCTCATTCGGCACACCAGGCTGTCTGGATGAACAGAAAGCATCCTCTTTGGCACAATCTGAGTTTCCCTTAGGAGTGCATTAAACAAGCAGGATGTCCTTCCCTTGGTCATCCTCTCCCCACCCCCCAAATTTCAGAGCAGATCCTCAGATCACAAATACAGCATCCAGGCAGGGAACTGAAGGAGGTGGCACCCAAGTCACAATCCACCTAGGGCTTCATATGTAAGCATCCACACTTTGTATTGTCCCTGGAAAAGAGTCCATAGCTGGGACAGTCATTTAAGTATCCATGTGGGATGTGGCAATGTTTTATCTAGCTAGTCCTAGTTAGTAAATCTAGATGCCATATTCTTTACTAATAAGCTTGCTCACGGGCAGCTGAACATACAGCATATTGCAGTAGTCTAAACAAGAAGCGGCAATACTGACCAAGCTCTCTCTCTCTATTATGTATATTTCGTCACCACGAATTTGTTTCAGTGTCCCTGACCTAGCCTTGCATAACACAGGAGAATCTTCTGAGTCATGAATGTATAACAGGGCTATGCAAATATATAACACAGCAATTAACACAGTTGTCACTCACAACACTACAACCGGGACAGTCAGGGCCATTCTCACAAGCTCTGTGGCGGGCCTGAATCCCTCCTCCGCATTGGGCCGTACAACGTTCCCATGCACCCCAGGTGGTCCAAAACATGTGCGGAGAACATAGCAAATGTTCATTGCAATACCTAGGAGAGAGGAAACAAAAGAAAAAGGAAGTTGTATATCTGCTCTCAGCTCTTCATTTTACTGGTGAAGAGGAGTTGGTAGCTTCACTAACAATGGGGGAACCAGACTCTTGGCATCAAAGTGAGCCAAAGTATGACACCATGTTGTCCACTTCAGTATCTAATAATGGAATTTACTTACATACATGGGGGTAGAATTGCTGTATTTTGAGAAAATGCCACTAGATATCTTACATTTTATAAGCATTGTAACAGGACACTGATTACCAGCTGTGTTAGAGTAGATACTGCAGAATGTGATCCAATGAGCATCACACTGAGCTCTGAATTGAGTTTTGCTAGCTAGATTTCGGAAATAACCAACAACCTAAATTGGTCGCATAGCTATGGAATGTTGCAGTTATGAAAAAGACAACAGCTTATAGCAAATCTTGATATTCAATATTCAAAAACATTCTCTTTAAAGCTTAGACCTCTAAGGCCTTTCTCTGGCATTGATCCAAAAAAAAAGCAATACATTTCATACAGTATTTAAACAAAGCTCTGGTCATTTTACACATGTGGTGGAGTAGGCTTCGTATGAAGAAGCACGGACGAAGCAGATCACGCAAGCTATTTGTAGACTAAACTTTGGTTACCAATTCACTACGCAGCAAACAACAGTCCACAGGATCAAATGATTTTGTCCTGCAGTACCACAAAATCCCAAATGCAGCACTACTTGGAATTTGGTTTTAGATTAATAATTTTGACAGTCTGACATTCTTGATACCCAAAATGTTAATCCAGTACTAATAGTCCATATAGGAAGATAAAGTCAAAACCCATGTTTTAGGCTTAAGGAGAACAAAATATGTAATCTAAAACAGGGGTCCCCAAGCCCTAGTCCGTGGCTTGGTGCTGATCTGTGGCCTTGGCAGGACTGGGCTATGGAGACAGATCTACCCCCCCACAGTCCCCCCCCCACATGCATGACCTGCCTACCCATATGCTGTCCTGCAGTACCACAAAATCCCAAATGAAGCACTACTTGGAATTTGGTTTTAGATTAATAATTTTGACAGTCTGACATTCTTGATACCCAAAATGTTAATCCAGTACTGATAGTCCATAGAGGAAGATAAAGTCAAAACCCAAGTTTTAGGCTTAAGGAGAACAAAATATGTCATCTAAAACAGGGGTCCCCAACCTGTAGT